TACAAACATCCCACGAAGCAGATTAGGCTGGATTCATAAATTTACACTTTACTTTCCCCATCCATCTTTAACAAAATCTCTTTTATACTCATTTGATGGTTACTAATGGAAAGATGTGAGCCTCTTTCAGGTCAATTTAGAAAATATGACTTGAGTCCCTATAATGTACAAAATGTTGTGAAAAGTACTAGAAGGAATAACATTTTGTCACAAGTAGTCATTCACTTGTTTTCTGAATAATCGGAGGGTCTGGATTCTAATTACCCTATATCTGTAAGTGGCTAATAGTTGAAAAGGGCTTTACAAAATTCTTACATATACACTTTTTTAATGAAGAAAAGGGGTTGGAATATATTAATTTCCTAATCGCTTACTTTTTTTGTATCAGGCAAAAAAAAAAAAAAAAGACATTGAATGAAAGAGGAAACAACTGTCCAAGATTTAATGACGTCCCAAACTGTGCTAAGCATTCTACAAACATCATTAACTCAGGGAATCCTTGCAACCACTTATCCTCGGTCTTCTTATTAAGCCCAAGTTACGGATGAGAACTCGGTACCTTAAGACCTTCAATAACTTGCCAGGTTCGCCTCGCTGGTACTGCACACATCCTCCAGGACAAAGCGCCTCTTCTAGGGCCCAGGCTCCACCTTGGACCTATCTGAAAACCCATTTCGAAGCACCCACCGAGGAGCACAAACCTGTTTCACCAAGCCACGGCTGGAAGAAGCTCTTGATGGAGATCACGGGCAGATCTTTATTAATCTTGAGGGTGCTCAGGAGGGGTGCCCAGTCCACCACCCGCAGGCGGTCGGCATTGAAGTCCAGCACGCCCTCCCGGAGGCAGGTGCGTACGGCGGGCAAAGGTACCGAGTCCTGCAGCGCGCACAGGTACTCATAGTGCGAGAAGAAGTCCGCTGCGCTGTCCCGGCGCAGTTTCACCGAATCGATCATGGCCAGAGGCTATCCCGGCCACAGAGACCACTCCCGCACCCACCAGGGACCCCGGATCTCGCCCAGCCTCTCCAGCTCCCACCGCGCGGCGGCTGCGGCCCTGCACTGTGCGCAGAAGCGGCGGCTGAGCCCGAAGAGCACGGCTAGGGCCCCCAGGCTAGGCCAGCTCCTCCACGCTGCCTTCCCGCGCTGCCTCCCGCTCTGCGGCCGTAGCCGTTGGCGTCAGCCTCATCAACCTCTGCGGCGCGGGACCGCGGTTCAAGCCGGAGGGCGGGTCCTGGCGCGGGTGGTGCGCGTAGACGTCAGCGCGCTTGCTTGCGTGCACACGCAGACTGCGCCTTCCAAAGGGGCGGGGCCTTATGCCCGGGAGGCTGGCCAAGCCCAGAAATAGTAGATGGGTGTAATGTGGAGTTTGCGATGAAAAGTTTACTGATTGATCTGAATAAATATGTGAAATGGATGTAGCAACGCATTTTTAAAACGTGATCTAGTCCTGCCGGGCGCAGTGACACAGGCCTGTAATCCCAGCGGCTCTGGAGGCTGAGGCAGGAGGATCCAAAGTTCAAAGCCAGCTTCTCGGAAGGGAGGTGCTGAGCAACAAAGTGAGACCCTGTTCTAAATAAAATCCAAAATAGGGCTGGGGATGTGGCTCAGTGGTCGAGTGCCCTTGAGTTCAATCCTGGGTAACCCCCCCCCCAAAAAAAAAAACAGGGTCTAGTCCTTGGGTAAATTATTAAAAAGTTTTCAATTCCTGGAAGTCAACCATACTCAGTAGAAAAAATTGAGATGAGAAGCTGCTCAAATCCACATGTAAATCAAATGGCTTCAGTTTTGTTTTCTGTCTTCTCTTTGGAGCAGATAAAGCTAGTATTTAACTTAGTTATCATTTTCAATTTATATTAGTTTTTAATGTTAGTTATGT